TGCTCTTTTTGTCGGAGCCGTCTCTGTAACTGGAGATGGCGGTGGCAGGTGACGGTGGCAGGTGGCTGTTGAAGTGCGGCTGTCAAGCGTCAGATCCCAAGTCAGTCAGGTGCGTCGCCCCTGGATACGGACTCCTTCGGTGTCAGGTACGGTGTGGTTCGTCCAGTTCAATGCTCTGGGGGCGAAGTGCCTGGAGTGGTGCGTGAGACGAAGTCTTGAGTTCGGATAGGGGGGTGTCCCGAACTGTCATAAGATGGGCCAATTCGGGTCTCTGCTTTGTGTGACTCGGGGCCAAAGGGAGGGTTCGGGCTCCTCGTAGGGAGTTCGAGCTCTAAGTAGGGAGTTCGGGCTCCTCTTATGGAGTTGGTCTCCTCGAGGGGAGTTCAGACCGTTGGTCTCTTCCCTTTGGTGTTTGTACCCTCGGTACGCTGTTTTAAGTGCCGAGCTACTTGTTTTTTGCCACGTGGCGTAATTTGCGAGGTCGGGCCAAATCTTTCTTCATCAGTTGATATTCTCGGTACACGGATAGCGTGAGTATCGTTTTTAGGAGGATGAACCCGAATTCTGCACAAGGATGACTGAAGTAGAAAATGGAAGCATGTAGCGTTGGTCTTCTTGCCTAAATAGCATCAGTTAATATGAAGGGATTATTTGTGCTGTCCCACTACCAGGAGCAGGAGCTTCCAAGCTGAAACTTGCCCCGTAAAAGAGATGACGAAGAAGGGAAATTTACCCAAGTGCCTAAATGTAAATGACCTATAGGTTGCGTTTATTTGTAATACAAACGTTGAATCGGGTATTTATGTATCTTGATTTTTGGGTTTGTGAGTATTTGTTTGTCATATAAAAGTGAATCCATTAATTTTTTGACATATTCATATTATGAAGAGTGCATTACTGTATTTATTCATTAGGGATGCAAATGGATCAGCCGATCTGATCCAATCCTATTTGGTTGAATTCGGATCACTCCTATTCGACTCGAGAAGATTCAATCCGATATATATTATGTATTTATATTATAAATACATAATACATATATGTTATTTATTTATAAATGTATTTTTATAAATTTGGTATATTGTTTATTTTTTTATAAAAATGTGTATGATGAAAATAATTAAAAAATACTTGTATTTTTACTTTGCTTAAATTAGTATACTTTATTTTTCTTTTAATAATTTATTAATTTTTAAAGAAAATAAGTCGAATCGAATCAGATCTGATCTGACTTACCAATAGGATTCAAATTCAAATCGAATCTTATCAGATTTGATCAGATTGAATTAGATCTGGCATGAACAATATCGAATCGGATTCAAATAAGGGTTACTCTGATTCAATTCGATCCGTTTGCATCTCTACCATTCATGGATACAAACTTATACTCTTTGGATCACAGGCTTACTTATTGGGTCAATCGAACGAGAGAGACCACCGTGCAGTTCTTTAGATCAATTTGAAACAAATAAGAGAGTAGAAGATGGGTTTACAACTATGAACCCATTTTGCATTTATGAACGAAAGAGAAGGTATTTTGTATTTATATAAATTATAAAGTAAACATTTGTGTTTATATGGCAAACAAACGCAGCCACTCCGTAGGGATCCATCATCTATGTTCTATCCAATAATAAGTGAAAAGATTTCGGGTCGCCCGTAATCCAAACGGATATTGTTCGCTGACCTTTCACGGGGATTTTGATTGGTGAGAGAATGAGAGACCCTGAGAGGAATCCTTCCGGTTCCGGTATCATTTCTTTCCGACAGGATAGGTCTTTTCCTAACATTAAATGTCTTAACTGAAGTATGACGTCATTATAGCATGTTGAATGGCTCTGATTGATCAGGATGGCATCAATGCCCTGTTTCTATTACATATCAATGGCTTAGATTTGCTCTATAAAGTAACAGGTACCGAAGCTGGACTCTGTGCGATGTTAGCGCACGACGGCACGAGGAATTACTTATATACTATATACTACCGAGACTAGTTCTGTTTTCTTCCCGCTTTCTCTGTCCGGCAGAGAAGCACAGAAACCGAAATCCAGATCTAAAATAAAAAGGCAGCAGAAAAACTTTGAATTCTCCATCGAAGCCAAGTGGAGGAAAATCCAACTACTGGAAATCTTTGTTAAGGACGTCAATGGCGCTCAATCTTCGACAGAAGCAGACAAGTAAGTATTTCTATTTAATTCATCTCCATGAACCCACACAATAACTTAAAACAAAGAAATGAACTCGAATTCAAAATTCTCATATTGTATCTGCGGCTTCAATCAATTTTCTATGTTTTGATTTGGACAATGGAATCCATTTAACGAGTAGGTTGTATTATTCGGATGTTGAATCTGAATCAACCCTTGAACTCGAGCGGAAATGTGGACGAAGAAGTTTACAAGATCCTAGTGTATGATAAGTTCTGCCAAAACATTCTCTCGCCCCTGATCCATGTCAAAGAGCTTAGGAAATATGGAGTTACACTTTACTTCCTCATTGACAAGGAGAGGAGACCGGTTCCTGATGTCCCAGCTGTCTACTTCGTCCAATCGACTAAATCCAACATTCAGCGGATCGTCGCCGATGCCTCCGCTTCTCTCTACGAGAGCTTTCACCTAAATTTCTCATCGTCCATTCCTCGACCATTGCTCGAAGATTTGGCCTCTGGAACCCTAAAAACTGAATCAATTCAACGAATCTCCAAGGTGCACGACCAATACTTGGAATTTATAACCCTAGAGGATAGCATGTTTTCCCTTGCGCAGAAGTCTTGTTATGTGCAATTGAATGATCCCTCGGCTGGGGATCGCGATATTGAAGAGATCGTAGAGAAGATTGTCAGTGGGCTATTCTGTGTTCTGGCAACACTTGCGGTCGTCCCCATCATAAGGTGCCCGCGAGGTGGGCCTGCAGAGATGGTTGCTTCCGCACTTGATTTACGACTGCGTGACCATATCATATCGAAGAATAATTTGTTCACTGAGGGAGGGAACTTGGGGAGTTCTTTCCAGCGTCCAATTCTGTGTATTTTTGACCGAAATTTTGAGCTCTCAGTTGGAATCCAACATGACTTCAGGTACCGTCCCCTTGTCCATGATGTTCTTGGCCTAAAACTCAATAAACTGACTGTGCAAGGGGAGAAGGGGGCCCCAAAATCGTATGAAATGGACAATTCAGATCCGTTCTGGATGGCAAATGGGTCATTGGAATTCCCGGAAGTTGCAGTGGAGATAGAGACCCAATTAAACAAATACAAAAAGGATGTGGATGAAGTGAACAAGCGGACTGGTGGACAGGATGGGGCAGATTTTGACAGCCAGGATTTGATTGGCAATACCAAGCATTTGATGAATGCTGTTAACTCACTACCTGAGCTGACAGAACGGAAGAAAATCATTGATAAGCATACCAACATTGCTACAGTGCTTTTAGGTGAGATCAAGGAGAGGTCCTTGGATTCTTACGCAAAGAAGGAAAATGATATGCTGGCAAAAGGAAGCATCGATCGAAATGAAATTCTTAGTGTTCTAAGGGGGAAAGGCTCAAAGGTTGATAAGCTACGGTTTGCAATCATTTACCTTCTTTCTTTAGAAACCACACCTCATTCAGACTTGGAAGCAGTGGAAGCAGCATTAAGGGAATCTGAGGTAGACACTTGTGCATTTCAGTATGTGAAGAAGATAAAATCACTAAATGTCTCATTGGCTTCAGTGAATTCTGCTAGCAGGAGTAACATTGTTGATTGGGCTGAGAAGCTTTATGGGCAGTCAATAGGCGCTGTGACAGCAGGTATGAAGAATCTCTTGTCAAGTGATCGACAGCTTGCACTAACGAGGACCGTAGATGCACTAATGGAGGGGAAACCAAACCCTGAAATTGAATCCTACCTCATCTTTGACCCCCGAGCCCCAAAATCAAACTCTGGGGCAAGCAGCCATTTGAAAGGACCATTCAAGGAAGCAATTGTGTTCATGATAGGTGGTGGTAATTACATGGAGTATGGGAGCTTGCAAGAGCTTGCACACCAGCAGCCAGCTAAGCATGTTATATATGGAACAACAGAGGTTCTTACAGGAGCAGAGTTTGTTGAGCAACTTACACTGTTGGGTCAAAAAATGGGATTAGGTGGTAGTGCTGCTTCTTTATCCCATTGAAGCTGATATCATATTTGAACGTTGGTCTTTGATGGTGCATTTGCAGAAGTGAACTTGCTTATATGAAGTTCAAATTGTTGAAACTCTCCTGTTAAGAGAGGCAAGTTGTGTATCTGAATCTGTTGTCGGGAAAAGCTATTTAAAGCAGATTTTAAAGTGGATTTTGCTATCCATTGCCTTCTGCTTTTGAGATCAGCATCATGTTCATTTGTGAGTGTTCATTCACCATTTACATTTTCCTGTTTTTGCTTCTTCTTACTCTTCCTCTTTTTATTATCTCTTTCTTTCCTTTACTTTTTTTCTGGTATTTGAAAAGTTAACCTCCAGAATAGAAGTGCTAATATTATCCAAATATTAAGATAAAGAATTTGTCTTGGGATCTCAATGAGCGGTTGGGGCTCCCACATGATATATAGTGATTGGAAAGCGTTACTTGTTAGACAATAATAGTTAAGGAAATTACTATATTTTATATGTTCGGGAAGCGCTATTATGATTTGCTTCTATGTTGATTGCAGAGTTGATCTTTTCTGTTTCCAGAGAGCGTACCAATTAATTTTGTGCTTGACATAGGGAACATACAATCAAATTTTCTACTCTAATTTATGGCATTCTCTGAAGTACCAAAACTCCTTTGACTTTGTGAAAAAAAAAAGAAAATAATTGATGCTAACACTCTGAATAATCAGTTGAATGTTAAAAAAAATAACTGAGAAATTTGTTCATATGCATGGAAGACCATCTACAACACTAATAAGAAGTGATCTATTGCAGGTTGAAAGATCTAGAAGATATAGTGGCAGGCTAAAAAAAGACATGGGTTTAAGTAGTAAGAAATGATTTGAGGGCCCATAATTCAATAATGGATATGGCACCAAATAAAGGGGCCCTTATCGGTGTAATGGTAAAATCTTAGGCCGTCAAGAATGAAAATGTGGGTTTGAGTCTGAGAGTGGCCACTTTGTGCAAAAAATGCCAAAGGTTAGGACCATATCCAGTCCACCCCTCCCAAGACCCCAGATAGCTGAGACCAACATTGGGTAATGGCCTTTATATGGCACTAAATAGAATGGAAGAAACAAAATACAAAAAAAAGTCACTAAATATAAGATGCATTAAACACATTCTTTCAAGGAACCAAAAAATTGAACCAAACTGATGAAATCAAACCAAAAGCCAAAAATCTGGTTAACTGAACTAATTGGTTTGGTATTTTTGAAAAACCAAAGGTACTGGTTCAGTTTTGGTTAACCGATATGAAAAACTGGTGGTTAATCGAAACAGCCAGTATATATATATTTATATATTATATATTTTTCATATATATTATATATTATATATAAATATATTTTTTATATACAAATATATGTATATATTATATTTATAATTAGCTATTTATAATATATAATATATTACATTTTTATATGTCTACATATTTATATTATCTATAGGAACCTAGGAGTAGCTCCAATAGGTGAGAAAATGAGAGAGAGTAGACTAAGATGGTTTGGCCACGTGCATAGAAGACCACCAACTGCACCAGTTAGAAGAAGTGATTTGTTACACATTGAAGGGGCTAGAAGAGCTTGGGGTAGACCAAAAAGGACATGGGTAGAAGTAGTAAGAAAAGATTTAAGCACTAATAATTTAACAGTAGATATGACTTTAAATAGAATGGATTGGCGAAATAGGATTCATGTAGCCGACCCCCATATAATTGGGATAAGGCATGGATGATGATGATGATGATGATATTATAAATACAAAACATAAAAAAAATCAAAGAACCGAACTGGTAAAAAACCAAGCCAATCAACTAGTTAACCAATTGGTTTTGGTTCTCAGTTTTCCAAAAGCCAAAGGACCGGTTTGGTTTGGAAAAAAGCCCATGGTTCGGTTAAGCAACCCTACTTGAACTTGGGTGTAGCCCCTTTGGTGGATTTCAACAACAGCTTACACACATGCCTTTTTTAAATGCGTCATTTTTAATATTCTTGTGTGTTTTACAAAACTCAACCCCTTTATATGTATGGGCCAAAATTTAGGTTGGGGGACTGCCCTGAACTCTCACATGGAGTTGTTTGGGATTGACTCAAGGGGCCTTTACAGAGGTGGAGGCAATAGGCTACTTAAAGTGATGCAAGACATGTAACATCACAATAGCTACTTGAAGTGATGCAACTAGGAGATAAATAAACAGATTGAAAGTTTCATATTGAATTTTTTAGTGTGAACTGTGAAGTACTTTAGTACAATCCACATATGTTTGCTTTTATTTTCATATTTTCACTTTGAATATGTTTTCATTTTAATGTATTACTATTTTTGTACTTTTTTTAAAATGTTCACCTTGCTTTGAAAAGTTCATTTGGTCTCTGACCTCCTTAGAGTTTAAACATAGGTTTTGTTTCTTCCCCTAATAGAAAATTAATTAGGAATTTAGGACTTAAGAGAAGCCTAGTACCCTTTGCAATTTTATCCTTTAGGGTTTGATGAGGGCGGATTTGGCCCTCCAATGACATTGTGACACATGGCATCTTAGAACAACTAGGTGACATCCGGAACCACTTTGGCAACAACTTGCCTTAGCCAAGATGATGGTGTCCCAGCTGGCGACCTGGCACAGGCGCCGAACTGGCAGCCTGGCACAGGGGCCGAACTGGTAGCCTGGCACAGGCGCCGAACTGGCGACCTACGAGACGTGCTCGCCGACAAATTCGGCACGCATATCCCAACACTCCCACGATCCTTGGAAGTTGGCCCACGTATCGAATGTTCTAGAGGATGGTCAACGTGCATGGCGGTTGCCTCCGGGAATCTCGGACCACTTAGGCGACCTCTCGGAAATCTCAGATACGGTGCGTGAAGCCCACGCCAGACAATGCCTATATAAAGGCACCAACCCCAATGGCATGAGAGGGGGGGGGCAAGTAAGCATATTCTAGCTCTCATACTTTATGATTTTTAGCTCGCAGTCTACCATGAGAGTACTGACTTAAGCATTGGAGCGACCTCGCCGGGTTAGCCACCTTGGGTCCTTTGACATTGATTCCTTGAAAGGTCTCTAAAGAACTACGAAGCTCAACAATCAATCTAGCTCAGCACTCTGGTCAGTTCGACACCTAATATGCAGCTTGACCCAGTCAGTTTGGCACCTAACTTGCCCAGCTCGGCCCAGTCAGTTCGGCACCTAACCTGCCCAGCTCAGCTCAATTAGTTCGACACCTAACCTGCCTAGCTCGACTCAGTCAGCTCGGCACCCAATCTGCCCCTAGCTCGGCCTGGTCAACTCGGCACCTAGTCCACTTCCAGCTCGGCCTGGTCAGCTCGGCACCTAGTCCACTCCCAGCTCGGCCTGGTCAGCTCGGCATCCAGGTCCTCACCCAGCAAAATTTTCCACTTCGGCCTCTGAGTCATCGGCCACTTGGAAGCCGACCATATGACGAGGTACTTAGCCAAAAATTGAAACATCAATCGATGCCATCTTTGGGAAACACTACAAAAAGCTAAGTTCTCATCTTTTGAAAGGCTAAGCCCTCTTCTTCCAGAAAGCTAAGTTCTCACCTTTTAGAAACTAAAGCTCTCACTTTCTAATTTCCTTTTTTTATGAACTCAAAGACTAAGCAGGAAGTTGATGGCCAACAACTCTGCCGACTTTATGTCAACTCGGATAAAGCCTCATCAGTCCTCTTCGCGAGGTACCCTCTACAAGATGAGCTCTTTGTGGCTTCCGCGGGAGTTGGCAGCCAACAGACTGCATGGACGCCCTTGCCGGTCGAGCCTTCAAGTGCTCTCGCGCGAGCTAGTGACCTAAAGTCAGTAGTGTTGCCCCCGTAGGTCGAGCTCCCAGTAGCTTTTTGTAGGAGTGGGTGACCGGCGTCACTAACGAGGCTGATGCAGTGCAGCCGTAACTCTAAAGTGTCGAACTGATAAAAGACCTCGGCACCATATAAGACCCAGTCGCCTCTTCGGCATGGGCAAAATCAAAGGTAAGGAGAGTGGACTGTGAGTCGCTCCCAGAGCCCAAGGGCTAAAGTACCGAGCTGGTAAAAGATCTCGGCACCACATAAGACCCAGTCGCCTCTTCGGCATGGGCAAAATCAAGGGTAAGGAGAGTGGACTGCGAGTCGCTCCCAGAGCCCAAGGCTGCAAACACTTGGACTCTTCCGACCTGAGAAGCAAATTGGATCGACGGTTACGAGCTCATCGAATTAGTCATTCCAGGCCCGAAGGAGAAATCTACTCCCTTCGCCGAGTTACTTTCAGCTCGGGAGTGGGGGGCAAATGATGAGGGCGGATTTGGCCCTCCAATGACATTGTGACACATGGCATCTCAGAACAA